AACAATAAAACTAATGTCATAATAAATAAATGTTGATTTCTTGACTAGGTTTGACTAAAGCATCTTCTAAATCGCTCTCAGGTTCAAGCAACCAATCAGTCAACATAAGCTTCCAACTAATCACCTGTAAAAAAAATAAGGGAGGAGAAAGGAACAAGAAAAAATAACAAAAATTAGCTTTAGAGCTAAGTAAGTACTACCCAACCCCGTAAAATAATCAGATTTGGAGAAAATAGTTTTTCATATAATATTATATAAAAATGACGCACTCCACCAAAATACTTTTCTCTTTGATTTTTCTTAAAATCACTTATTTGCTAAAATCTTCAACTTCTCTTGGAAAATATCATAGTAATTCTTCTCTTTAAATTTCTTAAGAAAATCACTTCTTCTCTAACTTCCTAGTAATTTAGAAGGGCGGTGCTCAACCTTTAGACTGAGCCCGGTGGACCGTGGTTACGGACGGCCACCCCGAACAAGTGCCGGTACCACAATTGCTCTTGCGGAAACGAAACGACTACCTTAAGTGTGCACACCCCCTAAAAGGGATTCCAAGCCCTCCGAGTAGTAAGTCATCCCGAGTGGTCAGAACCCAATCACTTCACCTTTAAAATTCTTGAATGATTAGGGACCACTACTATAACTTCTTCTTAAAAGGGATCATATATCCAAATGTCATTTTAAATTCAAACTGTACATCTTAGTAGCATCAGCCCTAATCACCCTCCACATTTATCCGGATGTGGAAAACCGACACCTCAGATTACTCTCGAGATGCTCACTTCTTATAAAAATGTAAATTTTATCTTCAACTAATACTTCCAAAAATACTTCTCAATTTCTCTTAAAAAGTCTCGAAGGTATTTAAAAATATTTAATACCCCAAAAGTACTTAATTTATCTTTCTCAACTACCATATATATAATATCTCCTCAAAATCACATACACAAAATTCACAATTCACACTTAATCACATAATGCATAATAAGCATATAATACGAGGAAACAATTTTGGATTGACAGAGAAACTTACCTTAAGTCCTGATGCTCCTAACTCTCTTCCTCAATTCCAGTCTCTAAATATTCACCTTTTTAATTAAGATGATATAATTAGTCACTTATATTATTTGTAATTATTTTACCCGATTTTTCTCCTTTTTATTCCTTTATTCGAATTTATTAATAGTATTAGTTAATAATTCGAATATATTTTATTAATCACTTTTTATCAATCACCTTTTTAATTCAGTCATTTACTTAAACTATCCAAATTCACCATTAATTTACTCTGCCTATAAAACATCCAATTAATTTACTATATTTTACTATCGTTAAGAACTTAAGCTATACAGATTATGAATATATTCAATTTACTTCAATTATAGCTTATTACAAATATATTCATACTTAATAACTATCTCATACGGTGGTATTATTTAAGCTATTTAAACTAATTCAGTAATTAATACAATAGTCCTTTATTAATTTTAATCAAGTCCGATAATAAAAGGTAATAAATAACTAACTCAGTTTATCATAATCTTTTTATTATTAACACCTATACCATTAATCCAATAAATATGTAAAAGTCCGAATTATATTAAAATATTCAATTCTCATGATTACCTTAATCAACATTAATAGTACATCCGAACATTATAACATTTATTTAAATTACTAATCATCATCAACTTAATCAAATTTTATTAATCACACACTTAATATTTCTGATTCCGTAATTATGTTAATTTTATTAATCTACTTCAATTAATCCAATAATTAGTGAAATCAATGTCTATCCAATTTTATTTAATCTAATTATGGTACTAAGTCCAAATAAACAATTATTGTTTTAATATAATATTCGTTTATCAGTTTTTATTAATTAAACCATCAATTCCCTTTTTATTATGTAATTATGTTAAATAACAATTAACAAATTTATCCAAGTGATTACTATCAATTAATCAAGCCAATTTCACCATTAATATTTCTTATCTCAAATTTATCTATTTTGCAGATTATTATTATTATTATTATTATTATTATTATTATTATTATTATTATTATTATTATTATTACTTAGCCCAAAAGCTGCAGCCCAAAAAAAAAGAAAATAAAATGCCAGCCCAAATGATGGAACACGGCCCAAATAATAAAAAAAAGGAAAGAAGAACACTGTTGTTCTTCCTCATGAGCTTCGACGGAAACGACGTGCAGTGGGAAGGCCTTACCTCGTCAGATGAGCGAACTGTGGTGACAGAGCACTCCCTCGGGACGGCGGTGGTCGGTGATGGACTGGCGGCGCCGACGTTTCCATCTTCTTCTCCGTTTTCCGTCGTTACAGTTAGCCCGGCGAAACTTCGTCAAGCGATATCTCTCTCGTTTCACGACCGTTTTCAACGATTCTTTCACCGTTGGATTCCTCTCCATGATCTCGAAGGGGAAGGTTTCTATGTGAGTTTTGGCTTCGGTTTTGGGTTATAACGAAGGGTCAAAAAATGGAGTATATATATACGTATATATGTATTAACGTATATACAACGCTGGATGGTGTTTGTGAATGAGAATAAACGAGGGCGGAGGACGCTATTTATACTGATATTTAGGGTTTGAGGCTGCGTTTAAAGTTTATCGGATTGGTATACAAGCTTAAGTTTCAAGAGTTTTAGTCCTAGTTGATAAAACAATGTGGAGTAGTTGTTTATTTAGGATTCCTTTTGTGTATGAAGACCTGCAGTCCAGGTTCATGTGGTTAAAACGAGAGCAGCATTCACATGCTTGATTTATCGTAGGAGCAACGTTTCCGAACGTAGACGATCTTAGTTTGTACGAAGTATATTCATTCCTATTTACACGGTAGTTTTGATTTATCTTTACCGCAGGTTTTAATTTTTTTTCTTTTCTTTTGTTATGTACTTCGTACATAGTAGGTTACGTAGGTTTAATTAGTTTATACTAGGTTTAATTTTGTATTCTAACATTATTACTACATATGTGTTTTTATGTGTATAATTAATAATTTGTTCAACTATTATTAATTGTTTTTAACATTTATAAAAAATGTCACTTTCATAACTATCATAATAATAATGTTATTTCTATTATTGAAATATTTTTATCTGACTAAAACGTCGTAAATTTTGAAATTTTATCTGATTAGAATGTCACGACTGTTGAATTTTTGTTTGACTCACTTAATAATTAAAATGTCATTGCCGTAACATTTTTTCTACTAATAAAAATTATTTTTATTTTTTTTTATTTAAATTTTTGGAGTGTCACAAAAGTCATCTTCGTACCTACACATTTAGCATGCATATAAATTTTTTCTTGGGGTTTATGTTTCCGATCGGGAGTTCGTCACTTGAAAAAGTGGAAATGTGAATTGTTGATGTAATGATAGAATACTTAGTAGAGCGGAGGTGTGAGCCATTCGTACGCAACGGTCACCACTCTTGGAATGACTAAGACCGGTCTTCGTGCATGAGAGTCAGGGTTTTGTGCTTGAGGAGTCAGGGCTTTGTGCCTGAGGAGTCAGAGCTTTGTGCCTGAGGAGTCAGGGCTTTAAATCCTAGAGATGGGTCTCGAGGAACACTCTACTAGGCATTTGATCATAAGTGCGTGATAGTGTGACATTCGCCCGACAAAAAGAAATGATTTAAATAAATATTAAGCCTTCTGAAAATTAAAGAATACTTATCTTTTTGAAGTGGGTTGAGATATATTGGGCTGATAAGTAGACTGTCTGGGCAGATCTAGCAATTGGGCCTTTAATTCCTTGAGCAGCTCGGCTGAAATAAAATCACGGGAGCTTGTTGTCCACCCAAATAATGCCAAGTGCTCCATCTTTGACAGCTAACTCCCCTTCACAATTTTGGCCCTTCGTACGTGTGGTCTGCTCTCATCCAAGTGATGAGCATCTTGTGGAGAGGCAGATGAAACATCCCACCAAGGCCAAGCAGTACAGGTCGGCCGCTCATCAGAGGGTCCACGGTGGCTGAAACGGCAGCGGCGGCTCTGGCGACCCCAACCTAGATCTGGAAAACCCGGATTTTCTTTCTTCTTTTTTCTCAGAAACAGCTCGCTTGTATCAAAAAAGGGGAACAGTGGTGCGACTGCGAAAGAGGAGCGGGCGTTCAGAGCTTTGGTCCGTCGGAGTTTGGTTGAGGAATAACACCTACAGGTTGCGAATCATCGAGGCTTCTCCTCTCCGGATCTGGATCTTCCATGAGCTTACAGTGGTGGCGCACAGCGGTAGATGCCCCTCCGGCGTTGGTGGCATGTTCCGTGGTAGTGGTGGTCTGCCGGTGGCGGCGATGCTAGACCAGAAAGTGTTGCGGTGACTCCTCTGAGACACGGCGGCGCGGTGACGGTTGCTCCGGCCAGGTCTGGGACAGATCGGTAAAGTGAAAGCAGGGTCGTCGCTGGTCTGGAAGTACCATCGCTCCTCGTCACTGCTCTCGCCGGATAGTGGAAGAGGAACCGCTGCTGCTCAGGTTGCTTTTGGCGAGGCCGGATTTCTGGAACGAGCCCTCCCTTTGACCACCAAAACGAGCCACATCTTAGCGGTGCGAACTGGGTGCTCACGTCTTAGCGACAGATGACGGAGGCCACAACTCCTCCTTTGCTGGCGGCGATGTCTACAGATGCAGCCATAAGTGATCTCTAGGGCGGTGACGAGGTCTGAGATCTGGAGCCTTACCCACGGCAGTGGGTGGTTCTTGTTGCTCCAGTTCCCCCAGAATGCAGATTCATTTTCCACCTTTTTCTATTTTGATTTTCCAGAACAACTTTTTCTGGAATTTTTGTGATTTGGATGCTTTTGTTGTATTTTTTGGGAGGTTTTCTCACTTGATGTGTTCAAACCTCTCAATCGAGAGCATCATTGTTGGATAATTGATACCCATATTGTATAAACTAGGAAAGATTTGAACAAGAAAGAAGGAGAATATTGGTTGTATATTTGTGTATTTGACGAGGTATTGTGTATGAATCAATATTGGTTGTATATTTGAGTTCTGTAGCCTCCTAAAGAAGTATATATAGGGAAAATCCGGGTCTGGTCCTCTAATATGGGCCTGACAAACCCGGTTACATAAATGGACTGATAGTACAAACAACTAATCTAGAACATCTGAATAATAATAATAATGTACAATAATATGAATGATATCCGCTAAACGTGTGTGGGCCGCTGTCCAGGTCCAGTAGTCAGCAGACCGGGGGGTCGGAGTCCATATATTCCATCAATGGTGAAGAACAAAATAGGTGTTGATGACACTTGCATCTGTTCCACAATCAAATTGCAGACAAGAGAAACACATATTGATATGGATTGAGAGAGCGGAGGTGTCGCAGTTAAAGTGAAGTCGCTATGAGAGACTTTTGAGGAGATTGATAGACAAATATGGAGGACGGGCAGAAACTTTGGGAGACGAAGGTCGATGCATAGTCAGATTTTGATTAGGCTTAGTGTTTAGACTCTTTTTCAAATAAAAGTGAAAAGTTGAAAGTTTAAATATGAAAAGTATTGTGTTGGTGGATATAAATGATATGTTAAATATAAAAGTGAACCGTGCAGATAATTTCCACTTATGTCCCATTAAAAACGTTCATAGTGAAGCCAAATAAGGGAAAACGACCAAAAATATAACATCTACAATTTTTGGAAAATGAAATACGAGTAATTTTCATTTTTCTAAAAATGTGACTAATCTTTGTTTAATTAATAAGCATTTATTTTCGTTGTAATTCTTACCTAACTAGTCACCCCACTCTCTTCCCCACACCCCACCGTTGCCTCTAGCAAATAATAACAATTACCGCCAACCACCATCAGAATAAATTGTAGGGAAAAAATATGACACTCATAATTATATGTTTGATGACGATAATGACATTATCGTGGTAATCGCAACACTGACAATGTCACATAGTATGAGTGACATAAGAAAAACTAACAATGTCATAGTACAGACATTATGACTTGTATTATACAGCACTTTTGAAGTCTGACTTTAATAAAATACTGTCTTTGTCTAATAAAATTTGGTCAACTTTTCTTTTTCGATCGTTCCAAAAAATTTACCATTTACTTTTAAAGTAACAAATATGCGGCTAAAATTAATCTACGTGGAAGACTAATTTTTTAGAGAAACAACTTAATTTTTAGTGTTTAGAGAAACCAGAAACCATAAAATTAATTTTGAGGTATTTGCCCAAATGGGAGTAAATCAATTATTAATTGCTAAAATAGGACTAAAGTATAAAAATTCCCTAAATAAGAATTATTATTTGTATTTGGACAAATATATCCTTGAAGCTTGGTAACCACAGACCCAATGCCGGACCGCTGCTTGCCTGCCGTCGCCGCTTGCCGGCCTCCGCCGATCGCCGCTGCTCGCAAACTGCCGCCGAGGTCTTAGAATTGTCCGCCGTTGCAGATGTGGATCTGGTCACCGGAGTCATAGATCTGGTCTTAGACTTCTCAATTCCGGCCGCCGGCGCTGCAGATCCGGCCTCCGCTGGTGTAGATCCATCCTCCGCCGCTTCATCTTTGGCCACTGCCGCCACTGTTGTCAACATTTTTTCAGATTGTCAAAGTGAGTCGAGAATGCCATTTTAATGGCATTTTAAAGGGAATTACAAAAATTTTTGAAGAGTAAGAATGCCATTTTGATGGCATTTTCAGAATTTTTTTTGGCAATTTTAGCAGAAATCGGCCAAGCATCGAACCTGCGACAAAAACAAAAGGAGAAGAGAAAAATACAATTTTTTATGTAGAATAAGAATGTCATTTTTATGGCATTTTCAGAGTTGAACTTGGCATTTCTGCAAAAAATATAATTGGGGAAGAGAGAACGAAGAGGGAAGAACAATCAGAGAAAAGAACAAGACCTTCGAAAAAGAGAAGAAGATCTTCGGCGGCGACGGCGGCGGACCACGGCGGACTTCGCATCAGCGACGTCGATGGACCGCGGCAGACTTCACATCAGGGATGACGATGACTGTCCTTCTAGGTATGATTGGGGAGGGGAAGAAGAGATCTACTGGAAATGAGAAGGGGATGTGTGGGGAGGGGAAGAAAAAGGTGTGGGGGAGAGGAAGAAAAAGGTGCGAGGGTGGGAAAGGTGCGCATGGGGAGGGGAAAAAGGGTAAATTTGTCATTAGGTACTATTTTAGGATAAAAATTATATATGATCCTATTTAGGAATATTATTAATAATTTAGTCCCACTTAGGGTAATAAATCATTAATTTTTTGGGTTTAGAGTAGTGTTTAGAGAAAAACCAGAAAATGTAAACATATGTCGACATTATGCGGAGCCGCGGGAAACCAGAAACCATTAATTTTTTTCTTAAGAAAAAAGAGAGAGAATACAGACAAGGAAAAATAATGATGCTGGACAGCGTAAAAAGGCAGCCGAAATATATGCGATGATTAACTGTACAGCAGGGGCCAAATAATTCTTCCCTCACTTGCAAGCGCCGCACGGACAAATGCTCGAACAGTGGTGCTGCACACTCCTCCTAAAAAGTTAGCCTCTTTTTGAGGTGAGGATCATCCATCTTTGTTCTTGTTCTAAATACAGAGTATTATCTACTCTGCAATCCATTATTGACTGACTCCTCCTTTGAGAATTGGACAAACTGGTCAACGCGAAGAAACATTTATAGCCCACCAGCTATTTAAGAATCTTCTTCCGCGAATTGATTGCCGTTAATATTGTGCTTTGTTCGAAAGTTTTGTAGTACACCTACCATATGAGGATGTTTTTTTTGCTTTTGTACTACCATGTCGTACAAGGGTTTGGTCTAAGCTCTGGTAATTCTTTATAACCTCCCCCCTTTCTTCTATTGCTAGCACCATCTCCACATCAATGGTGGTAGTAGTTCATAGCTGTTGAGATTTTTCTTTCATTAATATATTAAAAAAAAATTGGGTTTTCTGCCTTAGCGGTTGGTGGAATTCCCCCCTGTTTCTCTGGGAAATTATTTATGATCTTATGTTCTGAATAAAAAATATCAAGTAAAAACCAGTTCTTGATTTAAATCTTTGGTCTACTTACTCAGGTAAGACTCTCAAATTGTATCTTTCCATTTCTGGATTTTGGGTTTAAATTTGTGCGAAGGGTAATTTTAATCTGAATAAAAACTCTGGCGGTGTGATAGTAGAATGAGGCATGCGGATGGGAAAGAGGCAGAGGAGGTGATGGAGATTAAAAGAGAAGAAGAGAGGGAAAAAGAAGAGGAAGCGAAGAGGGTTCCTCTTCCTCCATGGAGGAAGCAAATAACAATTCGAGGGATTATAGCAAGCTGTTTGATTGGAATGATTTACAGTGTCATAGTGATGAAGCTCAATCTGACAACTGGACTTGTCCCAAATCTAAATGTCTCAGCTGCCCTTCTTGCCTATGTGTTAATGCAATCTTGGATTAAGCTTCTCCAAAAGGCTAATCTGGCTTCAACTCCATTCACTAGGCAGGAGAATACTGTGATTCAGACATGTGCTGTTGCGTGCTACAGCATTGCTGTTGGAGGTTAGCAACTAATTTTATTTTGCATCGGCTTGTAGTATATGATTGGATCCCTGAAAATGCTATTGAATGAAAAAAACGTTGAAAAGTTACTTCTTTATGCTTGATTTTACGCTGAAATGCTAAAGAGAATACAATTCAATTATTTGTTTAATTTTTTTATATATGTTTATATTTCTGCAATGGTTTTGTGCTTGTTTTAAGCTGTAACTCATCTTCAACCCCCCCCCATCACATTTCATGTCCATAAAATCAAAATTTTCTATTTTTTTCCTATTTTGTTCCCCTAGTATTTTCCATGATCCAAACAGACCCTTACCGTTGTTTCCAATCATTTCCACAAAGTGGTGTGTGACTAATTTTATCCATTAACTAATGTTGTTTTAAGGTGGTTTTGGGTCTTATCTCCTGGGGTTGAACAAGAAGACATATGAGCAGGCTGGGGTGGATACAATAGGAAATGTAGCAGGGAGTTATAAGGAGCCAAGGCTGGACTGGATAATTGGTTTCCTCTTTGTGGTTAGCTTTGTTGGGTTATTAGCTTTGGTTCCTCTCAGAAAGGTACTCTTTTCTCATCTTTGAATTAAAATACATATGGAGTAATGTCTAAGTCAAGATTTTGTTTCTGTGCAGATAATGATCATAGACTATCAGCTAACATATCCTAGTGGAACTGCTACTGCGGTTCTGATCAATGGGTTTCATACCCCCAAGGGAGATGGTGATGCGAAGTAAGCAACTATTACTAAAATCAAAGCACTTAATTGTTTAGAGGCATTTTTTTTGGGGGGGATGTGAAGGACCTATAGGCTCCTCCAAACCTAGCTCTTTGCCTGTCTCAAAAAGAATATTATAATATTCTTCATTCGTTCTTATTTAGTTTAAACAGTTCAGTTTTTCAATGCACACTTTGATCATTAATACGGTGTACATTGAATTATCCACAAGTAAATTATTAAAATTATTGATATTTCGAAAAGTTTCTATGACAATATTTTACATATTTTTTTTAATACATTAATAAAAAGTTAAAAACATATGGTTTTTTAATACATTAATAAAATAAAACCGGCGAAAGTAAATTTTGTAAATTGTGCAAAAATCAGACATTGCAACTAGTAAAGAACGAATGACGTATTATATTTTTTTTATACATTTCCCTTCACTCCTCAATTGGACCAAAAACAACATAATCATATACACTCCCATTTTCCTCCCCTTCCTTCCCCTCATTTGGACCTAACAAAGACTGAAACATTTCCTTGTGGAAACTAGTTTATGCAAAATCTATACAAAATATACCCTTCCTTGCCTTGGATTCCTCCAGGAAACAGGTACAAGGATTTGTGAAATTCACCTCGGCCAGTTTTTTGTGGAGTTTGTTCCAGTGGTTTTATTCAGGTGGTGATCAGTGTGGGTTTGCAAACTTCCCCACCTTTGGGTTGAAAGCCTGGAAACACTCGTATGTCCTCTTACCTGTTCATAGCAAGATTTAATAAGAGTTGTATTGTTTCAATCACTTAATGATTTAGACAGTTGAAATTTTGCAGATTTTTCTTTGACTTCAGCATGACTTATATAGGAGCAGGAATGATTTGTTCTCACCTGGTGAACTTGTCTTTGCTTCTTGGAGCAATTCTCTCTTGGGGAATAATGTGGCCACTAATTGGTGCGCGTAAAGGTTCATGGTTCCCTGCTTCTATACCAGAAAGCAGCATGAAGAGTCTAAATGGTTATAAGGTCTAAAAAATATCTCTATTTTTTGTTGACCAGTAAATTTACAGTAATTAACAATACTTTTCTTAACATGCAGGTTTTTATTTCTATTGCTCTCATCCTAGGTGATGGTCTCTACAATTTTCTTCGGACGGCATTCTACACTGGTCGAAGCATATATGTTGCACTGAACAAAAGAAATTCTAGGACGTGTAAGTGAATCCTTGATTTCTTGTCATCATACTTTGTCTTTGTTTCCATGGATATTTAGAGGACCTTTTGATAAGAGTAAATTGAGCCGAATTCACTAAATTAGCTTAAATTGCTAGAATTGTGGTTTAATGATCTGAATTATATATATATATATATATATATATATATATATATATATATACGGAGTATTTAATTCAAAATTATATTATTAACAAATTAGAGAAAAAATGGAAATACGGGTAACATGTTGTTTCCTTTCATTTCAACCATTACGCGCAAGAAAATGACACATGCACTACTCTTTCTTTGTAAATAGGTTCAACCATAAGTGACCGCTTTGTTTGCCATTTTTTTTACTTTCTGCTTTAAGAAGGGTACCTAAAACTGGTTTTCTCGTTATCTATAATATTTTACTTGATTCATACACCAAAATTACTTTTCTACCCAAAATTATTTTATTTTTTAAATAACTTGTAGTTTCAAATTCTACCAACTTTTACAATTAAGCATTTCTGTTAAATACATCATTTTCACAGACATACACAAAGACAAACACTACCTTTGTGTTTGGTAGACAGTCTAGCTAATAAGCATGCTAAGTATACTCCCCAAAGGGGTACTTATATGTATAAAATAAAGATTAGAAGAATGGGAGAATGGATTAAAAATTGGAACTTCAGTAAATCAACCTTTTGCTACATATTGATTGTTTTAATGAAAAAATGGAAAGATCTATGCTTTGCTGCTTAAGTTTCACTTGTGAAAAATATGCCCTAATGACAAAGATATTTCCTTGGCAGCAGTTCCAGAAACAAAGATTGAGCATTCTATTGACAATCTTCAAAGAAATGAAGTGTTTGTTAGAGAGAGCATTCCCTTGTGGGTAGCATGCATAGGGTACACAGTTTTCTCCATCATCTCCATAATCATAATCCCGATCATGTTTCCTCCATTGAAGTGGTATTTCGTTCTCGTGGCCTACACCCTTGCACCGGCCTTAAGCTTCTGCAATGCTTATGGAGCTGGTCTGACGGACATGAACATGGCATATAACTATGGGAAAGTGGCTCTTTTTACATTAGCCGCTTTGTCCGGGAAAGAAAACGGTGTAATGGCGGGACTCATTGGGTGTGGGCTCATAAAGTCCATTGTCTCAATCTCATCCGATTTAATGCACGATTTCAAAACGGGCCACCTTACCCTTACATCCCCACGATCGATGCTCATAAGCCAAGCGATTGGGACCGCCATGGGTTGTGTGGTGGCCCCACTAACGTTCTTCCTCTTCTACAAGACATTCGACGTGGGCAACCCAAATGGGGAATACAAAGCTCCTTATGCTATCATATATAGAAACATGGCCATCCTTGGTGTTCAAGGCTTCTCCGCACTCCCCCGACATTGTTTACAGCTATGCTATGGTTTTTTCGCCTTTGCATTGTTTGCCAACCTGGCGAGAGATGTGGTCCCAGGGAGGGTTGGGAAGTGGATCCCGCTCCCGATGGCTATGGCTGTACCATTTCTCGTTGGGGCTTCGTTTGCTATTGATATGTGTGTTGGTAGTATCGTTGTGTATGGTTGGCACAAGATGAACGGCAAGAAGGCGAAACTGATGGTTCCTGCAGTTGCCTCGGGTTTGATATGCGGTGATGGATTGTGGATCCTCCCATTGTCGATACTTGCGCTGACCAAAGTCAAAGCTCCGATCTGCATGAATTTTTTGCCTGCAAACACATCCTAAAATGGAATGCAAATATGCAATAAGGGTACAACAGAAAAGCTTTGGCGTGAGGTGGCGAAAGGTAAATAAATGAGAAGTAATTTTTTTCTTGTCCCATTATCGTGGGAGAGACTACCTCGGCATAGAAGTACAATAAATCACTTAGACTCTTAGAGTGTACAATATGGGGTGAACTGTAAATGTGTATAAGCGGCAAAAGTGTATCATGCTGTAATGTATAGTTGTGACATGTTAACATGGATTCCTTTGGAGTCATTATGTATGGTGTGAACTCACTGACGGAACGAACATAATGACAATGTTGGATACCGATTTACTTATTTTCTTGGTGGTTAAATTAATTTCACGCAAACACCTCTCTATGGTTTAGTACAGAGGTAAGACTGCGTAGATCTGACTCCCTTACCTCACCATAGGGTAATGATGATGATGACATGTAACTATTTCCATTATTTTTAATGGAGTCAAAAATTCATTATTTTTTCACTTTGGAAATATGATGGAATTAATCAAAATGACTCACTAAATTATTTTCGAAACGATTTTCATAATGAGTCCATGTAATTTTCGTAGCGATTTTCATAATGAGTTTATGTAATTTTCGTAGCGATTTTTATTATGAGCCATCCAGGTACATCTGACTCTCTTATGTCATCGTAAGTAGGCATGGACTCGGACCGGTCCGGTTCCGGTTCCGGGCCGGGCCTGGGTGGGCTTTTTTTGCAAATCCTTGGGCCCGGAACCGGCCCGGCCCGGGCCCGGTTCAATGTCTAATTTTTTTTGCTTTCTTGTTATCCCCCCGACCCCCCACCCCCACCCCCAAACCTCCCCAAAACACCCAACCCTACCCTAGGAAAAGAAAAAAATTGAAAAAACAAAAAAATTGACCCGGGCTCGACCCGAACCGCCCGGGCCGGTTCGCCCAAAACTGGGCCCGAGCCCGGCCCGCCCGACCCGCCCAAACGGGCTAAAAGCCCGAAACCGGCCAACCGGTCCCGGTCGGGTCTGGGCCCGCGCAGTAGCGGGCCGGCCCGGTTTAGTCCATCCCTAATCGTAAGTGGAAGCCTTTGGGGTACTAGGGTAAGGGGGTGCTTGGATCTGATTTTTGAAACTGCTTCTGCTCCTTTAGGGAGCAGAAGCAGACGTTGGAATGTTTGAGTGAAAGTGCAAAAGTGATTTTGGTGCTCTAATGTATTCCTAGAAGCTCCTAGAATCATTTTTTTTTGAAGTTGGGGGAAACCAGCTTTTGAAAACTGATTCTGAATATGATTCTGCTTTAAGAAACAAGCAGAAGCATAATCAGTCCCAAACATCACCTTATATTGTTATTGTTGTATATAGATATAACTATTTATTTTCTTGGAAGGCCCTACAGAGATATCCGCCCCTAAGTTCCATCATATTTGTAAGGAACATATAATACAAGTGTGGTCCCTGTCCCAATTATTCAATTATTTTGGTTGAGTAGTGAAAAATTGGAACAATGACCAAGATTCGAAATCTGCAGCGGTCGTGTGGAGGTTACAGCTCCAACTTGCTGGGTTGGACCTCTGGTGCGCACAGGTATAAGGCCTACCATCATTGGGTCGACTTACTCCTCCACCATCTGTTGTGTCGGGATGTGAGGGCGTCTGGGGTGAGCGATTCCACCTTTTAGAACAATAAAATCTCAACCAATTAAGATATAATTGACACAAGAAGTAAATAATATGAAGTTTTGTCACAACAAATTTATACGTGTTGTAAAATCCTGAGAATGACAAATGTGAATTGTTCATCCTTGTCATCAGGACACTAATCCAATTTCCATCCTTGTAATAGACAGATGAGTAGGTTTAATGTTTTCAACAGATTATGTAGAATAACTCTTTGATGATTCATCTCCTAGTCAAACTAGTATAAATAGGGTGATCAACCCTTTGTAAATGTACTTAGAAATTCAGAAAATATTCAGATATTAAGAAGAAGTAATTTAGAGCTTTTTATCTATTTATCTATCTCTTAAAGTTGATCTTCATCTTCTTCATTTCACAACATGTTATCAGCACAAATCTGCTCAAAGATCTTCAAGAAATCATCTCCTGCAGGTATTAACATTAATATCTATTCTTGTTTTAAACCAGAAATTTATTCTGGATTTTTTCATATATGAATAGAAAATATAGATAACATACATTTCCATGATTGATTTCTTCCATCAATTTTGATAAAGCTCTAGTAGGAGAGGAGGAAATTGACTCATCTACGTAAGTTGTAGTACTTCACATCCCATAATAATGAGACTTCGTAAGGAAGAACAAGTAAAAAAAAAGCATAAGGCAAATAATGATGGATATAAAAAAAAGGAATGGTAAGAGGAATAGGTGAGAAATAGAACGGCCAAGTGCAAGAGTGATATGTGAGATAATATACTGTGGCATGTGTAAATATAACAAAGTGACATGCATGGGTACTTCTACAACAATGTTAGTCACGAAGTAATTTTAGACAACGGTGCTCAGTCTCAACATGTGCTATCAAACCAAGAAACTGCATTCTTTTTGTTTTCTTTAATCACAGGTCTGCATTATAGTGAACACAAACAAAATTGATTGTTTTGTTTCTTGAGTCTTGATTGTCAGAAGTAAAAATCAGTCTTCTAGGTGGCAGGCACCCACATATATACTTACAAAAGGATACATCATCAGTTTAAATAACTAAAACAAATTTTTATGGTTGTATGGTTCGTAATTACCATAAATAATTAAAAAGAAAAATGTTTATACTTATAGTCCAATTCGTGTGTGTGTGTGTGTGTGTGTGTGTGTGTGTGTGTGTGTGTGTGTGTGTGTATACTTCGTATGTGAAGGGTTGCGATAGTAATATGCATAATTTTATACGGTATAAAATTAACTAATTATCTGGCTGTAGTTTATGGCATCTTATTTGTTGTTATTTTATTTGCTTAATTTTATATGGTATAAAATTTTGAATAAAGAGTATGTTATTTAATGTAACTAAATTTTGTAGTTATATCATGGCCAACATAAACAAAAGAGAATTCGATGTTCTTGATCTATCCGGCCAAAAATACCTGGAATGGAAAGTTGATGCTTTAGCACATTTGAAGGCTAATGGTCTCGAAGACACTATTGAGGCTATTAATGAATCATCTTCCCAAGATAAAGCGAAAGCTATAATTTTTCTCCGCCACCATCTCCATGAAAGTCTCAAATTTGAATATCTTTTGGTTGATGACCCAAAAGAATTATGGGACAATTTACAGGAGAGGTATGGCTACCAACAAAAGGTCCTTTTGCCTAAAGCTCAGTACGACTGGATCAATTTAAGATTCCAGGAATTTAAATCTATCAGTGACTATAATTCTGCAATGTTCCAAATAACATCTAAATTAAAGTTATGTGGACAAAAAGTCACTGATGCTGATATGTTGGAAAAACCTTTTCTACCATGCATATTTCTAATATGCTGCTACAACAGCAATATAGAGAAAAAGGTTTTAAAAAATACTCTGACTTAATATCAGTATTATTGGTAGCTGAGCAAAATAATGACCTTTTGATAAAAAATCATAATTTGAGACCCACTGGTTCTAGTCCTTCGGTTTATGGTCCATCTGGCCATAATTTAGCCACTGAATCAAATGCAACATACAGTGGCAGTAGAAGGCATTTTAAACGTGGGCATTTTAATGGTCATAAAAACAAGTCACACCGAGAATTCAAACAGGTCGAAAGACCAAATTATAAGGGCAAGGGCAAACAAAAGGCCCATCAAATAAATCGCCCTTTAAAATCCTCGGTGAAGACGACTTGTTACAAGTGCGGCATGACGGGGCACTGGGCTAACAAATGGCGTACTGCAAAGCATCTGGTGGAATTATTTCAAACTTCCATGAATTTGAACAAAGGCAAAAATATGGAAGCTAATTATGTCAATGACACAACTCCATCTCTGCCAAAATTTGACGTGTCTGACTTTTTCGCGGATGATGCCATTATGGACGATGCTTTTGCCATAAACCAAAATGTTACTAAATAAAATAGTAGACTCCTGATGTTGTACAATACTAGTTTTTTGTATTTTTTCTTTCTTCCCCGTTTTATTTTGTTTTTAAATAAATATGTGTAATGTATATACTCTTAAGTTAAATAATATGCATAATTTGTGATCAAGCTTATCTTTATTTATATATATTGAAGATATGGATCGTTCAAATGATAAAGAGCTATGTCTGATAGACAGCGCCACAACGCACACCATTTTGAGAAATAAAATATATTTTTCTCAAATGACTTTAGTTGAAGCTAAAGTCAATACCATATCATGTGTTGCGAAGCTCATTGAAGGCTCTGGGAAAGCATATGTGATGCTCCCTAACGGGACCAAAATAATTATAAATGACGCTTTATATTCCAGCAAATCGCGGAGGAATTTATTAAGTTTTAAAGATATGCGTCAAAATGGTTATCACATAGAAACTGTGAATGAAAACCAAAAGGAATATATTTGTCTAACGACAACTAAATCTGGCACTAAATGTATTTGTGAAAAAATGCCAGCATATTCCTCAGGACTATATTTCACTCATATTAGTCCATTCGAAATAAATTTGGTTTCTAACACAAAGTTAGATGATCAGAAAACATTCATGTTGTGGCATGACCGTTTAGGTCACCCAGGCCAGGTAATGATGCATAAAATCATTAAGACTTCACTTGGACATCCATTAAAGAATATCAGGATTCCATTATCAAGTGATTTTCCTTGTAAGGCCCGTTCTCTTGGCAAAATGATCATCAGACCTTCTATGAACAAAATTGCAACTGAATCACCTGTATTTTTAGAAAGGATTCAAGGAGATATTTGTGGGCCGATTGCCCCACCATGTGGACCATTTCGATATTTTATGGTGTTGATTGATGCTTCAACACGTTGGTCACATGTGAGTCTTTTATCGACTAGAAATTTAGCATTTGCTAAACTCCTTGCTCAAATTATAAGATTAAGAGCTCATTTTCCGGATCATTCTATAAAAAGAATCCGACTTGATAATGCAGGAGAATTTACATCCCAATCATTTAACGACTATTGTATGTCGATTGGGATTGGTGTGGAACACCCTGTTGCTCATGTCCATACACAAAATGGTCTTGCTGAATCTTTGATTAAATGATTACAATTAATCGCCAGACCATTATTAATGAAGTGTAACTTACCTTCATCAGCTTGGGGACATGCTATTTTACATGCAGCAAATTTAATTCGGCTTAGACCAACTGCATATCATGAATATTCCCCAATGCAATTAGTAACTGGACAAGAGCCAAACTTAGCACACATAAAAATATTT